CTACATCGTCAAAAGAATGTGACCTCAAGAAAAATCTTTACCTTCATTAATGAATTTCTTCATTAATGAATTTCTTCATTAATGAATTTTATCGTTAATGAATTTCTTCAATAATAAATTCCTTCATTAAATTAATTTACAATGGTAAATTAATTTAATGAAGGAATTACCTAATCCGAATAAGAAAAGCTCCAACAAATTGTCATCTGTTAAAAATATCTATATCTGAAATAGTTTTTGCATCAAGATTTTAAATATATGATTAACAGCAAATTCATTAAAAGAAATAATTTTCTCTTATACAAAAATAAATCACTTCTTGAAGTTTCTGTTATTAGAATTTCTTTCTCGAATGTTTCCTGCGAAGACATTAACGCAAGCCATTTCTCTCTTGAAAAGTGAAGGTGAAAAGAAAGGAAAATAAGTTCTGATCAGTAGGAAGGAGGAAATTAAGACGGGAGCAATCAGAAGGAGAGAAAGGAAGAACCAGCAGCAGCAGGGAATGAGGAAAAAAGGGCGTCGCCGCGGAAACAACTGCTGATGTAAATCAACTGATGATAACGGCATCTATTCTCAACGAATAGGATGCTGAGTTCCAAATAAACGAAATAAGAAAAAGAAGGGGAAAAAAAAATAAACACTGCGAGGTTAAATCTATCAGAGAAAGGTGGATCTCGCACTCACTGAGAATTTCTTCGTACACAAATTATTTATTTTCCTACTTCGGCAAAAATTAGGTTCTTAACAGAAAATCCCAAGAGAAGAAACGACAACTTTTATTTTCGTCTCCAGCTATCTTAATCATTTATTTATTACATCCTTAAAGAACTATGGGATAAAATAGGATCTCTTAGCGTAAATATTTTAAACTGAGATTTTCTTTACAACCCTGTTTTGTCTTTCTAAATTTCCTCCTTATTCATTTCTTATCTTTCTAAAAGTTTCAGAAAGAATAATCAATATTTCACGTTTCCATTTTTGTCTCTCACAAGAAATATTAAGACAAATTTTAACTATTAATTTCTCTCTTTAATTCACCTTAATATTCATCTACCATTAAATGACAATTACTGCGCCTAAAAAGTTATGTACATCCAACAAAAAAAAAGAAGAAGAATAAAAAACAAACCAACTTTATGAGAATGAAATAAAAAAATGACAGCAGTTAAATCACTTCTATTCCTTTCCATCGGCCTTCATAAAAATGTTTCTTTTCTCCGAGTAAAGCTCATCCCCCATTTTTTTTTTTTTCTAAAGTTTATGCGAACAAAACCACTAAAAAAAAAAAATAACGTGCCTGCTGTACTAGAGCACATTTACGTCTGCTATAAAATTCTTCGTTCAACAGAACGTGGTTCGAACAATATCATTCTGTTTATGGTGAGAGATAGCTAAAAACGATCGAGATAAACGCCAAAACTTGAAAACTGACAAGCAATTAACGAATGTATACAACATATACAATTTCAAATTACAACAAAATTTTATATTTCTCATTTTCAACAAAACACATATAATCTCATTTCATCTAAATCAGAAAGCAATATATTTTTTCCTTCGAAAATATATATAAAACATCAGCAATTTATTTTAAATCTGTGTGAGTGTGTGTGTGGTAAATGTATTTTCTTTTGAACTTAAAAAAAAAATTCTTTCTTTTTCTTAAAAAAAAATTCCTCAAGGGAGAAAATTCCTTGGCTTAATTTTTAAATTTTTTCCAGCGGAAAAATTTATTCAGTCGGGAACTTTCACATGGAAATGCGAGTACAACTCAAAAGAGTAAAGAAAAAATCTACTAACCAATGAAAAAGAAATATCTCTGACGCTGTTTTTCAAACTTATGCAAAAAAAAAAATCAAGGCGAGAAAATTATAAGGAACATCGAGCCATTTCTGACGATAATTACATTGATTTCTAATCGACCGAAAATAAATATAAATGTGTTTAATAAAAAAAGAACTGTTTTCAAATAGCGCATTTGGATTCAACGTCAAAGGAAATTTATTAATAAGCTATTAAAAAATTGTATTCTGCATTATTATAATATTTTATTTATTACTCAATCAGGGTTGACACAAAAATTTCATTTTCTTCTTCCCTAACATTTCCCTAAATTTCGGACAAAATTTTGACTCTTTCCCTGACTCTAAAGAATATTCTGATTCACTCTAAAAATAATTAGATATTAGTCAAAGAATTTTCTATTACATTTATTTACAAATTTTTTTAATTGTAAAATTATTCGAAAACATCAATAAAATCATTTTAAAATATATATATAATCATTGTTATTTTTCCAACGGAATTAAAATTTTCAAAATATTCTAAATTAAACCTTTGTAAAACATTTTTATAATAATTAAAGATTACAGAATCATTATATTATTAGAATATTATTACTGTAACTTTTTCAAAATTATTTTCATCATTTCAATTCAATTATTAATTTCTAGAATTTTTAACTAAAACTCTTCTTGAAATCAATTATTTTTAATAATTTTTGAAAAAGTTCTTTGAGAATAATTTTTATTAGAAAATTTTTCGACAATTCAATTATTTAAATAGAATGGTAAATAATTTATTAAATAATTGAATATTTCTTAAAATTTAATTTTTATGAAGAATTTTATAAAATTTTTAAAAATAATTGAATTCTTTCGGCGAATTTAAAAAGTAATTTTAAGAATAAATGCAATTTTCTATCAGTTTATTTAAAATTGTATAAAAAATAATTTGAATTCTGCGATAAGTTTTGTTATTTATGAAAATAATTGAATTCTTGCAAAGAATTTTATTAAAAATTTTTTTAAAGAATTGAATTCCGGAAAAAAATATTATTTATGAAAATAAGTAATTTCATATGCAGAATTTTATTCAAATTTTTTTAAATAATTGAATTTCTCAGAATTTTTTAAAACTTTTTGAAAATAATTAAATTTAATAGAGAAATTTAATTTAAAAAATTGAAAATAATTAAAATGTAACAAAGAATTTTGTTAAATTTTTTTTTAAATAATTAAATTCATATAAAAAAATTTATTTTTGAAAAGAATTGAATTCTTGTGAAGAATTTTATTAAAATTTCTTAAATAATTGAATTTCTTCGAAGAATTTTATTTTTTACGAAAATAATTTAATTTATTGTTTCAAACATTTTTACAAACATTTTTCACAATAATTTTATTCCTAGGAAGAGTGTTATATATTTTACAAAAATAATTGTATTCTACGATCAATTTTAGTTCTTATTAAAATTTGGTTTTAATAATTGAATTCTTTTGAAAAATTTTATTAAAATAGTAGATATTAAAAATAATTGAAATGAGGAAAATTTTTGATAATAATTGAAATTTTGACAAGAATTTTATTAAAGAATTAATAATTAAAACAATTAAATTCCATCGAGAAATTTCATTAAAAAGTTGAAAATAATTGAAATCTGACAAAGAATTTTATTAAATTTTTTTTTAATTTGCTGTAAAAAAATTTATTTTTGAAAAGAATTGAATTCTTGTGAAGAATATTATTAAAATTTCTTAAATAAATTCTTAAATTTATTTTTTACGAAAACAATTGAATTGTTTTAAAGATTTTTACAAACATTTTTGACAATAATTGTATTCCTAGGAAGAATGTTATATATTTTACGGAAATAATTGTATTCTATGATCAATTTTATTATAATTTTTCAAATTTATAAAGCATTTTAACAAAAATTTTTAAAATAATTAAATTCTCGAGAAAAGTTGTATTACTTATGAAAATAATTGAATTATTAAGAAGAATTGTATTGAAAATAATTGAATTGTATAGGAAAATTTTATTAAAATTACAATTTTATTAACTAAATCGTATAAAGAATTTTGTCAAAAGTTTTTTAAATAATAGAATTTTTAAAAAAATTTTATTTAAATTTTTCAAAATATAATTGAATTGGTGCAAAGAAATTTATAAAAAATTGGTAAGTAATTGAATTTCTGTGAAATTTGTATTAAAATTTGGTTTAAATGATTGAATTCTTTTAGGAAATTTTATTAAAATAGTAGACATTAAAAATAATAGAAATGAGGAAAATTTTTGATAATAATTGAAATTTTGCCAAGAATTTTATTAAATCTTTTGAAATAATAAAATTTCGGAGAAGAATTTTTGAATATAATTGAATTTAAGCAAAGAAGTTTATCACTTTTGAAAATAATTGAATATCTGTAATCAGTTAAATTTTATAAATTAAAATTTTATTTTAAATTTTAAATTTTATCTTAAAATTTCTATTTAAAATTTTTAATTCATTAAAACTTTTATTATTAAAAATATTTCAGTCAAATTATTTATTAAATAATTTTTTAGTAATAATTTTATGATAGTTCTTCAAGAATTAAGTTATTTGAAAAGAAATTATTGTCAGAAGATTTTTGTGTCACTGTATCAAAATTTAATGTAAGATTAAAAAATCCAAAATGGCGGATCTAATATGGCGATCAAAAATTTTTAAAATAAACAAATTTGTCTAACCATAATTACTGGAGTTTTTTTAAAGTCAGTGAATCAAAATTTTCTGATTATCCACAAGTTTTAAACGTTTAAACAAAAGTAAATTTAATGTTAAGTAAATCTGGATAAATTTAAATATTTTTGGTTGACATATTAGATCCGCCATTTTGAATTATTAAAATCCGACAATGTGAAACGAAAATACACCCAAAGGAAAATTTAACATTATTTCTCATATTATTTTCATTACAAAAAAATACATTTTACACCCCAACAATTTATTTATTTGAACCCAACTTTTATCAGTAATTACACATAAATCTCGAGAAAAAATATTTTCTCCAATTTTAAGCATTTAAATTTTGTTATCCCAGAGAATTTTGTAAAGCCGAATAAAACAAACGAGGATATTATCAAGATTTACAGTATCAGTTGCCCTACTCGTCGTTTCTCCCCCTGTGTGCCTGTGTCTGTCTGTGATTGTGTGTTTGTCTGTATTTTGCTCACTGACTGACGGGGAATCCCAGAGAAAGTAATTAACGAGTTCAATTCTCTATCCGCATTCGAATAGAGCAATTAATGTGCAACAACAATCAACTTTTCCAGTATTCAATGCTTACGTGGGTCTTCCCCTTCCTCCCACGCGAGCTTCTACATTCTAAAGAGTTCTAGTCTCAATAACTCGAAGCATATATTGTGTTAACAGCTGTAGTGTCAAGTGATTGTCAAACGAATTTCAACTCATTTGCAACTCGAACTTGTTTATTATTTCAGTGAACGAAGGTATGAACAAAGTGTCAATAATTACAAAGGATTATAAAAAAAAGAGTGTCTATAAATATTCTACCTATAAATAAACCTATATGTGTATCTACTATATTTGTACGTACAATTATAAAGTTGACGCATGAGCAAACTTTGTAAAAAGAAAAACATTGATAAGGAAAAAACATATGGAATAATTTTACGCTTTAGAGAAAAAAATTTTTCAACTTCAGTTGAATTGTAGAAAAAAGGCCTAAAATTACTAAACAGAAGGTAGTACCTATCAATTTTGTATTACAGATTACAGATTACAGATTTTTGATTAAAGATAAACTGCCACATGTTAGAGGAAAATATTATTCGATATTTTTTCCTTGAAGCTATTCAATACGCAACTGCCTGCATAATTTACAATTTTCCTTGAAAATAAATTCTATTTCTTACGACAATTCAGGATAATTTAAATAATTTAGACCTAAATATTAGTACGTAAGCAAAGACACTTGAATGTTTCCTTTAAAAATTTCAAATCTAATCCGAAATCAATACTGTAGTCACGTGCCAGAACTCGTTATCAAAATCTATTTCATCAAGAAAAAGAAAACGAAAATATTTCATGTTCTCTTGTTGACATTAAATTTTTCCCGAACGTAAAATTTGTACTGGATGTAAAAATATACTTATACGATAAATTATTATAGTTGTGGTTTGAAGGTAATGATAGGTTGGAATAGAACGATAAAATAAAACAAGAAAATTTAGTTACGAGGTGTTGTTAGAAACAATCCTGACCATTACACTCAAGTCACGCTTTCATTGAAATTTTATTTGTTTCTGTATTTGTACTTCAAAACTACATAAAAATAAACTGAAACCTTAAATAAAAGTTTCTCTACAATTTAGTCCACAATTTCAGGGTTGCCACAGGTCAGGAAATTCAGGAAAAACTCAGAGATTTTTATTAAAAGTACAGGAAAATAATAAATTTTTAGAATTTATAAGAAAATTCGGAATTTTTGTGTCTTTATTGTTTGCCCCATAAACTATGAAATTACCACGAATTCTAATACAAAACCTTCAATTTTTTCTATTTCTGACAATAATTTCTTTTTAAATAACTTAATTCTTGATGAACTATCATAAAATTATTACTTATAAATTATTTAATGAATAATTTTACCTAAAATTTCAAAATTAATTGGATTTCAAAAGACTTGTGTTTACAACCTTCATAAATAGATGAACTTCAAAGGATTTAATTTGAAATTCTAGAAAAATACAATTTTTAATGAATTTAAAATTTTAAATAGAAATTTTAAGAACAACTGATTACAGAAATTCAATTATTTTCAAAAGTGATAAACTTCTTCGCTTAAATTCAATTATGTTGAAAAAATTTTAAAAAATTCTTGTCAAAATTTCAATTTGTATCTTTATAAATAATACAATTCTTCTTCGAAATTTAATTATTTTCAAAAAATTTAATAAAATTCTCGGCAAAATTTCAATTATTATCAAAAATTTTCCTCAATTCAATTATTTTTAATATCTACTATTTTAATAAAATTTTCCAAAAGAATTTAATTATTTAAAACAATTTTTAATAAAATTCTACGTAAACATTTAATTGTCTTCATAAATAATAAAAATTTCACAGGAATTCAATTATTTACAAATTATTTTCATAAATAATAACATTTTTTTACAAGAATTCAATTATTTTCATAAATAATAAAACTCATCGCGGACTTTCAATTATTTTTAATACAATTTTAATAAAATTCCTCGAAAAATGTAACTATTCTTAAAAATTTTATTCAAATTCATCAAAGAAATTCAATTATTTTCAAAATATTTTTTTAATTGAATTTCTTCAAAAAATTAAATTATTGTTTTCAAAAATTTTAATCACATTCTTTGTAACAATTCAATTTTTTTGAAAATAATTTTAAAGCAATTCTTTATAGAAAATGAATTAATTTCAAAAATTTGTCAAAATTGATTTATTTTCAACGTTTACTGTTTCAATGAAATTTCACAAAAGAGTTCAATTATTTCAAAAGAAATTTTAAGAAAATTCGTCTCAAGAAATCAATTATTTTCAAAAGTAGAATCAAATCAAATTTCGCAGAAATTCAATTATGTTCAAAAATTTACAAAAATTGTTGTCAAAGTTTCAATTATCTTTTTAACTAATAAAATTTTTCACCGAAATTAAATTATTTCCAAAAATTTTAATAAAATTCTTGGCAAAATTTCAATTATTTTTCAAAACTTTCCTCAATTCAATGATTTTTAATATATATCTACTACTTTAATGGAATTTTCCAAAAGAATTCAATTATTTAAAAAAATTGTAATAAAATTCTAAGCAAACATTTAATTAATTCATAAATAATACAAATTTCAATCATTTCGAAAAATTTAAATAAAATTCTTTTACAACATTTAGTTAATAAAATTGCAATTTTAATAAAATTTTCCTGTACAATTCAATTATTTTCAATACAATTCTTCTTAAAAATTCATTTATTTTCATAAATAATAAAATTTTTCTCCAGAATTTAATTATTTTAAAAAAATTTTGTTAAAATGCTTATAAATTTAAAAAATTATAATAAAATTGATCATAGAATACAATTATTTTCGTAAAATATATAACACTCTTCCTACGAATACAATTATCGTCAAAAATGTTTGAACAAATCTTTGAAACAATTCAATTTTTTTCGTAAAAAATAAAATTCTTCAAACCAATTCAATTATTTAAAAAATTTTAATAAAATTCCACCCAAGAATTCAATTCTTTTCAAAAATAAAATTTTTCACAGGAATTCAATAATTTAAAAAAAAATTTAATAAAATTCTTCGTCAGACTTCAATTATTTTCAATTTTTTAATGAAATTTCTCGATAAAATTTAATTATTTTCAAAAAGTTTTAAAAAATTCTGAGAAATTCAATTATTTAAAAAAATTTGAATAAAATACTTCACAAGAAATTACTTAGCTTTATAAATAATAATTTTCTTCTCCGGAATTCAATTCTTTAAAAAAATTTTTAATAAATTTCGTTGCAAGAATTCAATTATTTTCATAAATACCTAACAAAACTTATCGCAGAATTTAAATTATGTTTCATACAATTTTAAATAAACTGATAGAAAATTGCAATTTTTTCTTAAAATTACTTTTTAAATTCGCCGAAAGAATTCAATTATTTTATAAAAATTTTATAAAATTGTTCATGAAAATCCAATTTTAAGAAATATTCAATTATTTAATAAATTGTTTATCTTTCTATTTAAATAATTGAATTCTCGAAAAATGTTGTGATAAAAATTGATTAAAAAATGAATTTTACTTAAAATTTTAAATTATAATTGAATATTAAAAGTATTATAGCGTGAATTTTTAGAAATAATTGAATTTCGAAGACTCGAAGTGATCTATTTATTCGTGTTTTAAAATAATATTCTCAAACGTTATTGAATTTCAGAAGGTTTGAATATTCTTCAGGGTCAGGAAAAAATTCAAAATTTTGTTTAGAAGTCAGGAAAAAACAAAATTAAATTTTTGTGGCAACCCTGAAATTCTTTTTATCATTTATCGAATTTAAAATCATAATTATTTCCCTCTTTACAATTACTTTTTTCTCTTTGGACAGAATTTGCTGTAAGAAATGCAGACTGAAGAAAGAATGGATTCAACATTAACACACCGGAAAAGTAAGTTTGTAATAATAAAAGACAGAAATGAGAATTTATCTAAAAATAAATCTTTTACAGCTGAAAGAGAGAAAACTACAAAGGATGATGAGGATAAAGATTCTGATGTTAATTCTTCGGAAAATAAAGTAGAAGACGAAAAATCAGAAACTCAAGTAGTAGCGGAAGTGACTGACCCACCTAAACTTCGACTTCAAGAAGATTTCACAACATGGGGAACTGTAAAATATAGATTTTATTTATTCAGATACTATCACTATTACTACGCCGATAAATTAGATAAATATTTAGCAGCCGGTTGTCTATGGATAATGCGAATCTATTTCCGATTTATTGGCCTTGTCGAAGACGCCGAAACACGAAACGAGGAATAGTTTTTTAATTTTATTTAATTTTTTAAATTAACTTAAATTTGACTATTCTTGATAAAAAGAACTTGCCATATTAAATTATTACTTGAAAGAGAAAAAAATTAATCCAATACACTTGAAAATATTCTTTCCTCTGAAAAATGCTTAACATTTTTCTCATAGGGAAGAAAATTTTCAAGAAAGGGATTTATTTATGAATGATATCTAACTTTGACTTGTACAATATCGAGAATATTTCTTCGCTATCGTGAGTAATGTATGTTTCAAAACGTAATCTTCTTTTTTTTCGTCGTTGTGAATTTTAGCTACAGATTTTTCTTTTTTTTTTGTGGGAGTATTAAAGACGTGACCTACTTTTTTTTTTAACAAGTACGCCTTAAAGTTGGTGCAAAACGTTCAAAGAAGGTTACTAAGAAATTCAAAGAACTTTGCGTATTCAGCCGAGCAAGAGAAGTTGTGCGAATAGTTGCTTGCTACAAGTACTGTTTACTACCATTTATAAAAAGTGAAAAATATGGAAAAGATGGATTCTGTATTGTAAATTCAATCTTTCTTTACACACAATTCAATCAAATTCGCCGAACCAAACATCCAATTTAAGAAATCCTCCAAGCTGACTTAAAGTTCAATTCCAATAAAGAATTTCTGTTTACAGAAAGTGGAATTTCCAATAGAATATTTTTATCTCTCATAAATACTTTTTTCTCCCCTATATACGTGTATACAAGACGTTATTCACGTCAAAATTAATAAAATATTTATAGCTCTGTATAAATGTTGATAATAAATACGTCTATTCTATTCAACCAAAAAGAAATAATTCTACCCTTTTGGAAATGTACAATTTTTTTTCTTTTTATTTTCATAAATTTTTCAAATAAGCCACCAAAAAAAAAAAAAAAAGTCAATTTTATCCCGAGGCTTGACACTGAGTAGTGTAACGATTGCGGCAACGAATATATGTCATTGTTTAACGACAACTGGACACAAGAGAATAAGGTTTCACGAAAAATCGAGCAAACCAAGTTAAACGAAAAATTTACATATCCAGAGAGACTGTACAGACTGTATACACAGCCAGATATTGATATCGGTATTTTCCCGACTCAGTTTTGTCACAATCCGTGTTTGATCGAATGCGAAAATACGAAAGCCGAGCATATATACCAACTATTTTTGTTTTAAAGTTTAATGAAGGACAGAAAAACATTCCATTAAAACAAAAAAAACAAAAAACAAAAAAAGTTTATAAACCCGAGTTTCTTTCAATTTTAAACATTCATACGAAGAGGAATAATCGGTATTTATTTTTTCTTTTAAATATACCAGGATTCATTCAGAATTCAAACATAATTTAATAAAACAGATACCAAACATAATTTAATAAAATAGATACAAAAACAAATTAGTAATTTTCGATAAATCTAAATTCAAAGTTGCCACAAAAATTTAACTTTATTTTTCAATGACTTTTCCCTGATTTCCAGACAGAATTTTTTTTTTCCCTCACCCTAAAGAATATTCTGATTCACTCCAAAAATTATTAGATATTTGAAAAAATGTTCTGTTACATTTATTTACAAATTTCTTCAAAAATAAAATTATTCGAAAACATCAAGTTTTATTTAAAATAAACATTTAATCATTTTTTTCATTGGAATTGAGATATTCAAAAATTTCAAAATCAAACATTTTCAAATTGAACAACTCATAAGAATATTATTATGAAACATAAAGAAATGGATCACTCCGAGTCTTCGACTCGAAATGCTCCATTTCTTTATGTTTTATAATAATTAAAGATGACCGAGTGACAAAATAATTTTTTTATTATTATAAGAATATTGTTGCTGTAATTTCTTCAAAATTATTTTCATAATTTCAATGCAATTATTATTTTCTACAATTTTCAAATAAAATTCTTCTTTAAATCAATTACTTCAATTATTATTCAATTAAACTTTTTAAAAAAAAATTAATTCTACAGAATTGTTAGTTAAAAGTACGAAAAATAATAATTAAATTCTACGAGAATTCAAATAAATACAAAAATAAATAATTTATTCAATAATTGAATGTTTTTAAAATTTTAATTTTTACGAAGAATTGTATCAACAACTTTTGAAAATATTTAATTTCTTTTAAGGAATTTAATTAAAATTTTAATGAAATTTATTATATTAAAGAATTTTATAAGTTTTATAAGAATTTTTTTAAATAATTGAAATCATTTTGAAGAATTTTATTAAAATCTTTAAAAATAAATTAAATTCCTGAGAAGAATTTAAATAATAATTTTTGAAAACAATTGAATTCATGCGAAGAATTTTATTAAATTTTGTTTAAATAATTCAAATTTTGCCAAGAATTTTATTAAAATTTCTGACAATAATTTAATTCTTGTGAAGAATTTCGCTATCTGTTTATAAAGATAATTTAATTCTTGACGAGAATTTTTAAAAAATTTTGAAAATAATTTAATTTCTGCAAAGTATTTTATTAATTTTCAAAAGAATTGAATTCTTGTCATGAATTTTGATATTTAACAAAATAATTGAATTTTGGAAAACAATTTTATTAAAATTCCTTAGAATAATTGATTTTATGGGAAGAATTTTGTTGTTTATCAAGCTAATCGAATTCTTTTGCAAAATTACTTAAAAATTTTTGAAAAAAAATTGATGTTCTTTGATGAATTAAATGTTATTTGAAAATATTCGAATTATTGCAACGAATTTTATTATTTTATTAGAATAATTGAATGTTTCTTAAAATTGAATTCTTTTCTCAAGTTTAAAAAAAATGTTTAAGAAGAATTGCATTTTTCAAGGAATTTATTCAAAATTGTATTAAAATATTTGAAATTCTGCGATGAAAATAATTGAATTCCTAAATTAAATTTTATTATTTATGAAAATAATTGAATGTTTTCGTAAAATTGTATCAAATTTTTTTTCAATATTTAAATCTTTCGATAAATTTTTATGAAAATAGTAAATATTGAAAATTATTGAATTGCGAAAAACTTTTGAAAATAATTGAAATTTTGCAAAGAATTTTATTTGAATTTTTGCGAAAATAATTGAATTTTTGGTGAAGATTTTTGCTATTTGTAAAGATAATTGAATTCTTGACGAGATATTCGATAAAATTTTTGAAAATAATTGAATTTCTTCGAAGAATTTTATTACTTTTGAAAATAATTGAATTTTTGTGATGAATATTGTTATTTTTAAAAATAATTGAAACTTTGCAAAGAATTTTATTTAAATTTTTGAAAATAATTGAATTTCTGTGAAGAATTTTGTTATTTAAGATAATTGCGTTAAAACTTTTGTAATAATTAAATAATATTAAAAAATACATTCTTGGCAGAAATAAAAAAATTTTTTTGAAGGTTTTTTATTAGAATTAGTGGTAATTTATGAGTCAAACAAAAAAGACACCAAAACTTCAGAATTTTTTTATGAATTTTAAAACTTTAACTTTTCCCAGTACTTTTAATAAAAATCCCAAACTTTTTCTGATTTTCCTGACCAATTCTACTTTCCCTGTCGTTTCCCTAAATTCCTTGATTTTCCCGACCTTTGGCAACCCTGTAAATTAATGGATTAAAATACGCTTTTTATCAACTATACAAAAATGGCGCTCGAATAAAAGGTAATTTTAACAAATTGAATTGCTCCGTTGAGCAGCAGTTGGTTTTTAGTTCAATCAACAAACTACACTCAAAACTTGACGCACAAAACTCGGTGGAGTTTCCGTCGAGGATCTCGTTTCAGAAAAGGAAAAACGACGTTGAGACACGGCCGCAAAATGAAATCAGAGCAGCGCTAACAATCTCGACTGCAAATAACACTCAACGAATTTAATAATCATACCAATCGTCTCTTCTCCATCTTATAATAAATTTCAGCAATTTCTATTTGTCAGAACAACACTACGAATACTATAACAATAAATAGAATTAGTACCAGAATCATGAATAAAACTTTTACTTTTGATACATCAAAAGAAGACACTAGAGAAACGCAAATCGAATAACAGATGCTTCTCTAAAAATTTTTAACCAAAGAAGGAAAATTTAAAATGTGATTATGTTTATATAGATATAAAAGTGAAAATTCATTATCATGAAGGCATGTGTAAGGGAATACTTTGTGAAGCGAGAGAGGCAGTTCAAAGTTTAAAATTGCACATGTGTTGCTTCACTTAATCACACTTTTGCCTCCAATATTCGAGATCAGAGACCTAAGAGATATCAAAGAAGCATTTAACTTTCTTGTATGAGGGAAGTAACTACCAAGTGTCAAAGATTCATTTCATATTCAAGAATCCTTTAGCAGGTACTTTAGGAATTTACTATATAAAGTACCTCAAAATGCAACACGTGTAACTTTCTTTCTTTCTTTCTTTCTTATAAACTCAGGGGAAGAGAAAAGAATTCTGACAATAAGATTGCCAACCAGTAGAAAATTATTCTCAAGTGGGTTGCAATAATGCCTCTTGTCCAAGAAAAACAGAAAGAGAAGCTCCAAAGAAGAATGCAGCTGTGCTCTATATTTCACAAAATGCTCGTAAAATTCAAAGAGTTTGGACATTTAGACTGAAATGTCCTTAAAATGCATTTTATCACTTCTTTAAAAGGATAATAAAAAATTCTCCGAAAAAAGAAACCAAATACTAAACATGAAAAACTAAACTGCAACAAAAGAATTATTCTGCTAATTGTGAAATTAAAAACAGATAATATTCAAGCTGTTTAATCGTCCCTATTGAGAAGTTTATAAGCATCCCTAATTCTCGGATTTCAATGTAAGTATCACTGTGATTCGAATCATGCGCATGGCAAATTACCACGATGCCATTTGCCTAATACCGTTAGAAACTATGGAGTTTCAGTGGTGAGCCGCATTTAGCAAGTTTGCAACCATAATAATAAGATTATTTAACTGTAAATCTATATGTAATAGCTTCACTATAGCACAATACACAAAATTTATCTTCTGAAAAACTATAAATAAAAAAATTATTTCAAACTAAAGAATAAAGTTCGAACCCTTTTTAAAATGTGTCGTTTCCTATAATACATATAATTCCTCGATTCAACCGTGATTCTAAATTGTTTCGTTATAGCTTCAACATTACTTCGACCAAAGCTTTCAAAATACTTTCAGCATAGTTCGAGCAAATTACAAAACTGCAGAAGCCCACTGAACTGCATATATTGAACGTTCGGCCCGATGTCGAACGATTTAAATAGTTGGGAAAAATCCGATAATTACAGTACCTTTTTGCTATCTACTTTTTGATGGTTTCCGATCTTTTTTTTTTTGTTATACATTGAAATCTTTTCCTCTTTCTTTTTTATTTAATCAAATAAAACAAATCCAGGAAAAAAATTACATTTCAAAAATTATGGAAATGCGAAAACATTAAAAAATATTTGACAAAAAGGTAATAATGTACACATAAATATTCATTCACTAATTGACGGATGGATTAAAATGAAGCATTAATCGTAATTATAAGCCCATGTGCAAATCCGTAATAAATAATAAGGGATGGTTCAAGGTAAACGAATGCCAATCATTCATGTAACCCTGGGGGGTAAATTTCTACTAATGAACAAATATTGTTTAAATGAAATGAAAACTTGATCTCAAATAAATCAAATGCTGTAAAATCAACTTTCACTTATAAATAAAGTGCGAAGAATAAAAAAATTTTATATTTTAATGATAGCTGATAACACATTCCCTGACTTTTCCAAATTTCCCAAGCAAAAAAATGGGATTTTTCCAGG